TTCATCTGTCAACCCGATATATCGAAATCTGTTTCGTTTCTTGGTCCTACATTCCAATTAAATTCGTGAAACGAAAATGCTGCGGCGTGGAAATGTTCGTGTAACTCATCGGAAATCACGGAGGAATACGTCATGCTAATCGTAAGTCTTGACAGGTTGAAGTGGTTGGATAATAATGTATCCCAAAAGTCACTACTGATAGTTGATAATTGTCCCATGCATACGGATGGCTCTTCTCTCGGTCTAAAGAACCTACAAATAGAATTTCTCCCCCCAAACACTACATCTCATATCCAACCTTGCGATGCCGGAATTATTCGTAATTTCAAATCTTACTATCGAAATGCCTTGGTGATGAAGTGAATTCATGAATTAAATGATGGACAAGTGATAAAAAAATTAAATCTCAAAGAGGCAATTGAACTAATTGCAGATGCTTGGGATAATGTCAAACAGAATATGATAAATAACTGTTGGCAAAACACAGGAATTTTACCAATGCCTATTAACGCAAACGAAATGGAGATTGATGAAATCGATGAAGCTATGGCTAACTTAATTTTGGCCCTTGATAATCTGAAGCTTGTAGATCCCTTGGTAAATATAACAGCGAATGAGTATGTCGACGTAGATAATGGTTTGGTTAATACACAATTGCCTACGGAAGATGAAATTTTTGAAGAATTTCTTATGGCTGAGGGTGTCTTGCAGCAAATGCAAGTACATGCTGAAGAAGACTCAAGCGACGAAGAGGAGGCTACTATTTCTGTACAAATGGGAAGAGAAGCTCTCGAATTAGCTAAAAATTTTTTAGAACAAAGAGAGTTTACAACAGAGAGTGATATAAGATATATATGTAGTATAATTCGACGCTTAGACGAGTCAGTAGAAAGGTCAAAATGCCAAACTTTATTAACAGAATTTATTAACCAATAAAATTGCATGCTTTAAATAACGTTACACATATATACCTTAGTTGTATCCCACCTCGAATATATCCCCGAAAAAGCTCTGTCCCAAGGTGGGGATATAAACGAGGTAGGACTGTATATTGAATTTGCTGATGTATTCCTGAACGAATTACCAGACAAGTTGCCACCCAGTCGAAGCATCGATCATGCTATTGAATTAACTAACCCCTGAAGTAGAACCACCATCTAAACCCATGTATAAACTCTCTTATGTCGAGATGAATGAGTTAAAGAAACAACTCACTGACCTCCTGGCTAAAGGATTTATCAGACCGAGTATGTCACCCTTTGGCACACCTGTGTTATTTGTACACAAGAAAAACGGAATGCTACATCCTTGTGCAGACCATAGAGCATTGAACAAAGTAACTATTAAGAATTGATCCCCCTTACCATGCAAGGAGGAACTTATGGATCACTTAGTTGGAAGTAAATACTTCAGTAAGATCAACTCATACTCTGGCTATCAACAAATCCGAATAAAACGAGAAGACATTTCAAAAACTGCTTTTTGTACAAGATATGGTCACTATGAGCTTCTTGTTTTACCTTGCAGTCTCACTAATGCTCCCACAATCTTCATGACACTTATGAACATCTGAAAGCATCAACTATATGCTAAGGCAAAGAAATGCGAATTATTTCGTAAGAAGGTAGAATATACTGAACATTCCATATCTGAAGAAAGTATTACAGTCAACCCAAGAAAAGTTAATGTAATTAGAAATTGGTCTACACCTACCAATACATCTGAAATAAGATCATTTCTGGAGATCGCCAGTTATTATCGACAATTCATATCAGGTTTTTCAGCGATTGTAACACCATTAACTGCACTTCTTCATAAAGGCCAACCACTCGACTGGACATCTATTATACACGAAGCATTTGACACACTGAAAGGAAAATTATCCACTACTCCCGTACTATTAATACCCGATCCAACAAAACCTTTCACTCTCACTACAGATGCCTTCGACTTTGCTATTGGAGCAGTGTTAACTCAAGATCATGAAAAAGGTAAACAACCTGTCACTTATGAGTCAAGAAAGTTATCAGCAGCTGAACAGAATTACACCACCCATGAAAAAGGATTATTAGCTATTCTTCGTGTTATTAGATTATGGTGTATGTATCTAGAAGGACAACAATTTACTGTCATAACAGATCATGCCTCTCTTGAATATATCAAGACACAATCTAACCTCTCAAATACTCGTACCAAGCATTTTGAAATACAAAAAAACGGCTATACCTCAAAGGTATGCAACGAATGGCGGCACCATCAAATAAGTAAATTCAAACGCACATATTACATGAACATCGTGATACAAATATCTCGGGACATTTGGGAATTGACAAAAACTGCAGAAGCCATTATGCGTAATTTCTACTGGCCAAAAATGGAAATGACACTCGAAAATATGTGCAGACGTGTGACACCTGTCAATGGAATATGAAGTGGAAGCAATATTAGATAAAAGAATTAATACACAATATCTAGTTAAATGGACCGGATATCCGTTGCACGACGCAACATAGAGAATTCGAATTGACGCGGACGTCAAATCTTAAGGAGGGGAGAATGTAACAATTTGCAATTGTTACGATTATGATATTGCAATATCGTAATCATTGAGTAATAGTGAAGACGATACTATTTAGTGTCTATGTCGTAATATGTTTATGCTTTTATTGCATCGTTATTTAGTTATTATGTAGTCATAATTATATATATATATTTATATCGTATATCGTCATAGTTATATACAGATATCGTCGCGAGAATATGTAAATATAAAAGAACATTATCTTACTCAATAAAACAAGGACTTTTTAGTTGAACGTCTAATAAACCGTCCACTGACTTTGAGATTACTAACATTATTTCGAAGTCTTTTACATAGAGTAATTGAAGATGATGGTACATCAGAAATCTTTGAAACGTGGCCTGAGAGGATTAGACAATATGACGAACGCCAAATATGTAAGTACCAATTCATAGTCAATTATTGTTAATTAATTAAATCAAATTGACAAATGTTAAATTATGTAGAATCTGTTGAAAGCGAAACAGC